ATCATCCAGCCAGCCACATTACCGCAAAATATAACACGCTTATTCAAACACACAGACAGCGATCTCTTATGGTTAGTACACACAATTCTTCGTGTGTGTTTTTTTGTTGTTGCAAAGTTGTTCCCAAGATGTTAACATACATCTACTCAATATATCATACGTGAAAATAAATAAAAAATCAATAAAATGATAACTTTTTGGAGTTCAGCTGCTGCTTTCTCGTTCGGTGAGCAAATAACAAAGGATGTGCCAAGAACCGACTGAAGAGCGTGAGAACAACGAAATATGGTTTAAATTTTGAAATATCGCTCTTGTTGAAGCAGATTAAGATGCACATTTCGCAATTCCATCGTCTCATGCTATGCGTTGCAAACGGCTCTGTTCGCTCATTCTTTCTACCGCCATATTTTGTTTGCTTCGTCGTCTCCGTGGTGGTGGTTGGTTTGGCCAAGGAAGAAGAAAAAAACGTCATTGGCAACCGTTAAGCTGCCTTTCGAAAATAATAACAATTCGCCACATTGAAGTCGAAGATTGCGGTAGAAATTTGCCATTTTCAATCTATCTCTTTCGGTGGTGTGCGCAATCACGTTTTGAATCAATATTTTAGTAAAGCACACCATAAATGACATCGCAAAATTAACCCCATAAATATTATTCGCTGCACTGGGGCGACAAAAAGGGCGATCTGAAAAAGATTAAGGGGTCAGATTTTCGGTGAAAAACCGCAAAAAATCCGGCTGCTTACATACATATGTAACAAACGATGCGCACCATACAATCCAATCCATTTCAAGTCAGCCAACCAGCCAACATCTCTAGCTGACTGTATCAACAATTACATTTGCTTTTGAGATTTTCCATTTTCCACACACAAGACTATTTGCCAAAGAATATTCCAAGACAATTTTTCATTCTGCAGCGGGAGCGTTGCATGCGACCCGAAACAAAAACCATTTTCTCACTTTTGTGACGCTGAATAAACTTTTATCGCTTCATTTATTTGTGTCGGTGTCGCTTCCAACCCAAAAAACAAACAAACACATCACCTTTGATATTTTGATACTTTCAACTTTCGGCATTCGGTACGCGCACACACACACACAGCACCACAACCCATCGACGTGCTAAAAAAACTTTTGCGATAAAAATATTTTGGCTAATCGCACTGATACCTTCACCGATTAACAACTTAGCACTCGAAAAATAGTTTTTGCTACCTTTCCAAAGATAGAGAGAGGATTTTTTTGTTTGGCATCAAGATTAAGCACGGCAGTATTTTATTTTATTTATTTATTTTTATTTCGGTAGAGAAAAGTTTCAGCTATTTTGTTTGATACACCTGAGATAATGGAATTAATTATTTAGAGCATTTTTAATTTTTCACTTTTTCCCAGGGCAAACGATTTTCGATGTAAAAATACAAATTTCACTCTATATCATTCCAAAAGTTTCCAAATAAATTTTTTAAAGGTGATTCAGAGGTTTTCCATCATTTAATTTTTTATCATTCAACAAAATATGTTATCGTTTGAGTGTGGCTTATGAGCTTCATGTAAAATCACAGTTGAACTTTAATAGTCATTTTCAATTGTGTGAATGGAAGTGAAAAAGCATTTGTTACATTGAATTTTATTTAAATTGATATTGTCAAACGATATCATGTGTCAATTTGAATATTCAAAAGAGAAAAATGTTGAGAAATTTCTTATGAATAGCGAATAATGGAGTAAATTACAGGACGACGTGTCTGCGTTTCACACGACAATCAAAAGGGTAAGAGATCAATTTGATATTTTTCATCTCCGATCGAATTAAATGGTTCAAATATCTTCGAACTTGTTATCTCACACATACTATCAAATCAAATTTTTCAAAACCGATATAATTAAAAATAAAAAATATTTTCAATTTGGCTCGTCCATCTTTCCAATTAAGTTCAAAGCATTTTTAAATTGACACTTGGACAATTATATCACATCAATTTCGTACACATATTGGGGAAGATGTATAAATGAAAGAAACCGATTTTGGTGGTGTGAGGATCACGACAGTTGCCTCTCAAATTATGTTTTTTTTTTCATGTAAACAGATGTCAGGACAATGAAGAATTTGTTACTTTTCATTAAATTTGCCATAAATTTGTAATGATGAAACAATGTTTTCATGACGTGTATCAATTTGAATATTTAAAAAGGAAAAAATGTCGACCGATTTCCAATGAATAGCGAATGATGGAATAAATTGGAGAGTGTCTTCGTGTTTCACATGATTTTCCATAAATCGAGAATCAAAATGGCCTAGATTTTGATCATCTTATTTATTTTTTCTGTCTCAGACAAATGATTAAATGCTTATTCAATATTTATTGTCGAGCATGAGACAAATATCTAGCGTTTTCTTCATTGGCTGTTTTGATTTTCGATTCGGTATATTTTCTCGTTTCTCAGTGACTCAAATGGCTTTGAATCATTCACGATTACTTCAAGCACGTAACATTCCGCTTATTATCAAATTAAATATTTCTGAATCGATGTAAAACTGGAATGAATCCGACGAAATAGGTGTCAACATTTATAATTTATATTTTTTATTTCCCAGAGCGTTACTTCTACCGTCTCGACAGCTTCAATTTGTCTCTCGAAGAAAGTAAACGACAAACTTCGTATAAAAATTAAATTGACCAAATGCCAAAAAGATACTTGTACCAATCAAATGACGAAAGATGAAAGATTCAACATTATTTCCATTTCACTGAATAAAACTTAAATGAGTTGTTCAATGAGTTGTGATATGTTTTAAAAGTTGTAAATTGTATTTCGATTGACAAGTGGGGAAGTGTTTTGAAAAGTCTTTTTGACTGTTCCATCGAAAATTGGTCGGAACTTTGACATGGTATCAATTTAAATCCTTCAAATACCAATTTTGTTGTTCGTATATCAATTACACGTACACATACACTCAGGCGACACGGTATGATACGATGCCCAGTGCATTTATTAGAAAATATAAACAAGCTGCTCGTCGGTCTCGATGCAGAAAACAAAGTTCATCGGAAGCGGATGTGGAGTCGACGAATGGAAAACATGCATCGAGTTGTTGTTGTGCACTTGAAAATGTTAAAAGTTTCTCTTTTCACCATTTCATTCGTTGGAAATGGGTAGACGGAAGAATGCGACTATTTCCGTTGTTTTTTTTTTGTCACATATTCTGCTTGACGCTGCACTTGTACAACTCATTGTAGTTTTATGTGTGTGTGTGTGTGTGTGTGTTCACATCAAAAAAGTGAATGTTAACATTTATACAACTATTCGAATATCTTTGTACCTCTTTTCCACTCCGTCCCTCTCTCTCTCTCTCTCTCTCTCTCTCTCTCTCTCTCTGCCTCGCTCCTTTATTTTCCTTTTTATACGCGTCATACTGAAATCTTTGCTAGTATTTTTGATTTCTTTTGATCGCTGAGAATTTTCGCACAAGTTTGAAATTCGTCCACATTTTCTTCCTTCTTCTGTTCGTTGTGTGTGTAAAAAGTTGAACATGAAAAAGTTGAGAGATGGTAAAATGTGTAGTACAGCTACACTTCGAGACGCACCACTTTTGAATCCATACGTAACGCAAAGAATGGTAATGGCTTCTTTTATGCATTGCACATTCTTTGCGCATTCTTGAATTTTTTAAACAAATGAAAATTCGCTTCTTTGTCGATTCGCTTGGTCATCATTTCACTCGTTTTGAGGACGCAACACCAAATGGATAAAGTGCAGATATGTTGTTGCGTGCACTCGACAAAAAGTCCAACCAATTGTACCATTCAATAATGGAACGCGTACAGTACTTTGAACGCGTACAGTCATAAAATCCAATTTCGCACAAAACAAACACATTTAAATATTCACATTCCGTTCATTCGCATAAAAGCTCCGAATAATCTTTTTTCGCAAATAATTCTCGTGAAATCTCGGTTTCTGACTAAAAACATTCCACCATTCATATCTTTCTCAGAAGAAGTGTGGCTTAAATTAGAACATGTCTAGACAACTATCACCGCCGCTTTGAATCGTGAAGCGAAAAAGGAAATATCGCACATTTATCACATGCCCCGCCGAAGAGGAATTCACAAAAAGTACCAGATAAATCCAGAAAACCAACTGGCACAAAAATAATCTTCTTATGAATTTCACAGAAAAATCTTTTTCTTCCGAATGTCTATTCCGATTGAAATGCACACGATATTACATTTTTCAAGAGATGAACAAAAAATTGCGTACTGAGGAAAAATCTTTTACTATTTGTTGATTTATTTACTTTGCTCTGCATTTCTCTTGCTAATCTATGCAAAGCAACCCATGTTATTTCTCGCTTTTTGCACTCTTTCTGTTCTCTGTCTCTTATCTACAACTGTTCGTCGCTTTTTCTCAATCACGGTATGAGTGTCGGTGTGTAACTTCAGAATGATGGCGAAGAGATTTTTCGAAAGAACAAGCGTTATTTAGTTTTTAAGTGAAACGAGATGTTTCATGTTCGCTATCATATTTCGGTGTGATATGTATTACCAAGGTCGCTTTCTTCGTATTCAAATACATGGGAAAGATTTGACGTAAGACGCCGAGACGCCTCTACGCGTAGAATGCTCGAAGCTGTCATCGTACACATATTGAACACGAACATTGTTGTTTACACAATCGCACTCACACAAATGAACGCATCGATAGTGCCCGCTCAATATATGTACGATGACTGTTTTGAGTGTCCCTCGCCTAGAGTGCTGCGTGTCGTTTTTCTTCGTTTATTAAGCGATCTTGGTATTACAACCAGTTTTTAATGGAAAGGCTCAATTCGATATGTTCTGTGGATATATTCAATTCAATTTTGCCATTAAAAGCGGCATTTTGCAATGAGATACTCTATTTTATCACGGGAATATTCTCATGTTCACCCCATAACTGCAAAAGCTGATATCCAATTGATGTTTTTTTTAATCTTATTATCGTTTTTTTTTACAGAGGAGGATTTCACAGTGGAAGAATTTCCAGAAGAGTTCATGCCACCGCCGATGCGTGATGATTTCGTGATACGAGATGACATGTCACAGAATAACCTGATACAGGATAAAGGTATATACTGTTTTTTTACGGCTCATATATTTATTTTACCCAAATTAACTTGAAAACAAATGCGAAACTCATTTTTCAAAATAATGATTTCCCCGTAATTTGCTAAGACATGACGGAAAAAGAAACATAACTCTCTGTTGTTGTTGTTGTTCAAGAGCTTTTCCCAAATTATCGTATTAAATGTGTATTTCATGTTGAACCATAAACAGTTGTGTGAATCGGCGGTTTTTGCTTGTTTGCAGTTGAAGTCAACCACTTGAAAAATCTTTTCGTTTCTGGGTGAAAAAGTGCATGCATTGCAAATTCAATACAAATTGCGCCAAAATTGCTATGTCCATGGAAAAACGATTTGTTATTCATTCATGTCGGGACGGAAAATGTGAATTATACTGAATTGAAACGCAAAAGCAAAACATTTCTGATGAATGCTATTTCATTATGCGATTATATGTTGACAATAAATTTATGCATTGACGTACGACATTCATCGTGTGGCTCAGTAATTCTCGGCGCTCGTAATGTCTGAAATGCGCTTGGAGCAAACGCAATTTCGCTTCTTTTCACTCTCTCATTTCCGCCGTGAGTTTTTTTCCTCACTTCTTTCTCTCTCTCTCTCTCTATAACCCGTTCACTCTCTTGCTGCGCGCTTACTTGTTCGCTCGCTCATTCACAAATGTTTAAAAAAGAAGGCGAGTATAGCAAAAATGCAATTAAAATTTTATGTTTAATGCTTTTTTCCTTTGTTCGGGTATTTTTCTTTAATTTTGTCTGTTGTTTTTTTTCGCTCCCACTTTCTCTTCGTCCCATGCTCCAGCAATGTTGTTCGCTGCAGCAATGGAATTCCTTGCATTCACCGTTGTCTACCACTGCCGCCATTCGACACTCAATTCTTTTGGCGTTGTCTTCGGCCCGAAAGCATTCCCTCATTTTTATCCGCTTCGTGTCCGCCTCTCTCGCCCCATTGGAACAAAAGAAAAGAAAGTCGCTTTCTTCCACAACTAGTGGTAGTATATCTATTGTTTCAACCATTTCGCTATTATTTTTACAGCAGTATCGAGAGCAAGAGAGAATGCAAGTGAGCGGTTTCGACTCTTTGTTCGTTCGACTGTAAAACGATCGTCGAATTTCTGTATTGCCAGTTCAACTTGGTTACACAAACAATATTTACTGCTTCTTTATTCGTAATGAAAACGTGTAGAACTAGCACGAACGCGCGCGCGATGCACAAAAGAAAAATGAAAGAAGAGCAGGAACAGGAAAAAAAAATTATTTACTTTACGAACCGCGAGTCCTAAGATATATACACACAGACATTTTCGCTTCGAAGATCAGGAACTTGAAAGAAATTATATAGTGTTGCGCTGAGTCGTACTTTGTTAAAATGGATAGGTAAAATGGAGAGAGCGGGCGGGAGAAAGAGAGAGAGAGAGGAAACTATATAAATTTATCAGCATTTTTCGCATAAGTTTTTCGTGCATTTCGCATGGAAGTAGTTATTCCATTCGCCTTCTACAAATGCGATGAGAAAATTATTGGTACGGTCGTTTTTTTTTCATTCTCGTTCATTTCAATGTAGCCATTTCTGCAGGTTTTTGAAATAAATAAACAAGCAATTTTTGTAAAACGGAAAATGAACTTAATTAACTGTGTACTTTCAACTTGAATATTCGGAATGAGCCGAGAAGAACAAAAAACAGCACGAAAAAGGACAAAGACGATAAAATCTATTCCGATACTTCGTGAGTTTTGGATTTTTCATGTAAAACATGGTGCACCGTTCGTCCCATCCCCATCTCTTCATGTCACTGATTTTTTTTTATTTCATTCAAAACTTGTTCTCGCTCGTCGATTAGCCTGGCAATACCGTTTTTGTTCGAAACTATTCATGGGAAAACCTATCGATGCGTATCTTCATACCAAGACAATAGATAACAATAGTTCGGTGTGTATGCTTGAAGGAAGCCAACGGAAATCAAGCTAAAAATAGTTTACAGCTTACGATGGATATTTAATTTTATTTATAACAAAGCAAGGCCATCCGACGATGAAAAAATTTATCCGAAAAAAGATTGTGTTTTCAATTAAAGATCAGATGACATAGTTCTCGTCATATTACATCATTGAATGGCATAAACGGAGCTTCATCCACTTTCAATCAATTATTAGTAGACACATCACCTTTTTTTCCTCCTCCAATCAAACTATTATATAAAATTTCGATCATATTTCTGGCGAGCTGAAAAATTGATGGAAAAGAATGTACGCCGAATTGTTATGGTTACCAATGAAATAGTGCGTCAATCAAGCGTGTGAATATATATTTCCGGGATTGGCTTATAAATATCGAATATGTTTATGATTGTGGCCACACGACCACTTATCGCATTATCAATACATGTGAATATTTAACGTGTTTTTCTCACTTTTCGTGCATGAAACGATTATTATTATACAACCATTCTTCCAACCTTTGCTCAAGTGTTCATTTCGGATTGGCTACATTCGATAAACAACGTAATGAAATTTTCCATTGCTCGAAAGAAAATAATAAGCTCAAAAACACTCCACGGCTATTTGAGCGGTTAACACAGAGTTTGACAATTTGAATGAGTTTTTCTCCAGTTTTTTTTCCCTTTCTTTTCAACTGATTCCCGGTTTCAAAAGCTGGACACACTCTCCGAAATGTTGTTGAACATGAGACGTAAATGAAAGATAAAAAGCTATTGTTTGACGTTCAACATAGCGAAAACGAAGCTATTCAACCGGCTGTGGTTGACAATGACACCAGCATAAATAAAATATTAACTAGATATTGAATGGCACAAAGACATCGAGTTGGCTCGCACACCGATTTCGAAATGAGATTAGGCTACATTATCTGATGTTGATGACAAAAATACCGACAACAGCAACAACAGCTACGCAAACTTCGAAAAACCAAAACATTCTCCCCCACCATACATGTAAACCGACACGACAAATCAAACAATAAAAACACCAAAATCATTGCAATAAATAAAAGTTACCTAACAAAGTGCTTTTTGCCGTTGTCTCTATCGTGATGTCACACTGACCACAAGCGTCCAATGTTATGTCTCCCGTTCGACTTCTCTGTCCCTCTCTCTATGTGTGTAAGTATATATGGTCGTTTATGGCACGATCATCGATTTTCTCAATGGTTGTGTTCGTTTTTGTGCTTTTACGGCCACGGTCCTTAGCCGCCCCGTGCCATCAGGAGATCGTTCAACTGTGAAATTTCTTTTGTTGGGTTCATTCGCTTCATTGATATTTAGTTATTATACTGCTGCTTGCTGCTGCTGCTGCTGCTTTTTGCTCTCCATATGTTGTTCACTTCGGACACTTGGTTCGACAAGTGTATTGTTCCATATACGATATGGTCGTCGCATCGTCCATCCCTTATCATTTCAATTGTTTTAATGACTCTATCGATCGATTTACTCAGTCCAATGGAACGAAATTCAACAGCAATCCATTTGATTTGTCAATCGTGATTTCGGCTACTTTTCAATCCATTTTTCTGCTTCACACTGTCAACGGAATTTAATATTTTGAATTGTGTGCGCGAAGAAAGAGAGGGAAAAAATACAATCATTTCGATATTTTTCCAACAATTTCAATATTTTCAACATCATTGTGCACTTACCCAATAATAATTTATTATTATTCGGAATAATCAGTTTGAAATAATTTTCATTCCGAAAAACGATTATGCACATTGGATCGATTATTTAAACATGAAAGCGTATGAATGCAAATATTTGTTAACATAAAATTCAACAAACGACTCAGAAAATCGAATGTTTTCTCTTCATGCACCGTGCATCATCGAATGAATGCTATTTTCTTCTTTACACGATTCTGAAGCTTCAGCATAAAAAAAAATCCTGTTGTGATTTCATCAGAATCACTTTAATCTTTTAATTTTGTGTCTCGCATTTGTACGAAATCAAAAAATGGTGGAACGATGGCATGGCTTCGTGGTGAAATTTGAATCTTTCGAATTTTTCTCTGAATCTAGCAGAGCTTTTAAGAAGTTTGAGCACTTTGAATCAGCATAAGACGTACCCTATGTATAGAATACCCATGTATGGAAGTTATTTCAAACGAAAATTCAAATGGCAAACTTGGTTGGAAAATGAATCAAAATACCTCCCAAGTCTACGAAATGGAATTGTAATATGAAAATTCTTTCGAAAAGAAATGAAACGTCATGGTCCAAATGTGAAATGTTCTGTTGATGCAGAGATCAAAATTGTGTGTTGATGCAGTTTCACTTGTGGTACATCAAGAAAGAAAAATAAGTTAATCTATTTACCGTATTATATCTCTGTTAAAGTCGATGAAATGACAAACTTCATGCAGTATAAGAATGCTGCTGGATTTTATGGGGAAAGCCATAAAATGTTCGCTTTTCTTCATCATTATTGACTTGAAAAGCATTGTTATTATTACATCGCATTGTTAAAACTTTAGACTATGGTTCAAGAGCTTACTATCAAAAATAGAACATCCTATCCTCCGATAAAGTTTTCAACAATCCAAATAAGCATCATCTTGAACAAATAAACGAGCAAAAACAAAGCGATCGTTACGAAAATAATTTAGATGGTTCGATGGCATACACACACGAGAAAAAAAAACGCAACGCAAGAATTATACCGACATTTTCATTCGATGGTACTAATTGTTGTGCATTTTATTTATGGTAACGTCGATATTTCTTGTTTTGTGAAAATATCTCGCAATAGCTGAAACGATAATCCGGATTTCATGCGAAATCATTTGGAAATGATTTACCTTCTGCAATGACCATCAATAAAAAAAAACACAACAACAAACAAACCAGAAATGTTGGTCCAGAATCGAGATAGCGATGAAAAAAATGTTATGTACGAGATAATGAAAGAGGAAAGAAGAGGTAGAGGGAAAAAAGAGAGAGCAGGAGCTGAACATAGAGAAACAATAAAATAAAGCTAATA